CGAGGCGTTGCAGCAGTGCATGTCGTAGCCCGTCTGCGCGGCGAGGGCGGTGGTGGGCTCGACGGCGGCGGGCTGAGTGGTAAAGCGTTGGGCGTGGCGGCGAGGGCGGCGGCGGGCTCCGCGGAGGCGGGCTGGGCGGGGGTCGCGAGGGCGGCGGCGGCGAGGGCGGCGGTGGGGTGAGGCGGCGGTGGGGTGAGGCGGCGCCTTGACCATCGCGCACGTCTGGCGCGCCGGCTCGTATGCGCTTGGGTTCGACATGTGCTCGGGCGTGAAGACGTGGTCCCTCGGCGCCGTCAGGTACTCGTTGGTAGACGCGAGGGCGAGGCGGCGGCGCCCGTCGCCAGCCTGGCACCTGGATGAGGTGTCAGGAGGAGGATGCACGGCGTCAGGAAGGTGGTGACGGCGACGTGGATTGGCGGGAGTGTGGGGCGATCCGCGCGCACGTCGCTTCCTCGGGGAGCACAGGGCACGTTGGGCAGACGATCGGCTCGGGGCACGGCTCGGGTTGCGACGCAAACGCGAGGAGGAGCGCTGGGAGCGAGTACAGCATTGCGAGCAGAAGACGTGAGGACGAGCGCTGCGGCGAGGGGGTGGCGGGCGTGAGTATTCGGGGAGCGCGAGCGCTCCTGGGAAAGCTATGGCGGCGACCACCTGGAAAGGCCGAGGGCTTTAGGGCTTAGGGCTAAGGCCGACGGCGGATTGCATATCACGGCCGAACCATATATGCGTGGATCTCCGCCGGGGCTCATTTTTGAGTACGCTTTTGCAGCCTTGTTTCCCCTGGTAAAGCGATGGCCGACGGATATTCTGTCACGGCTGATGAGGGCAGCTGTTTTTGAGTACGCTTTTGCATCCTTTGTTCCCCTTATCTCCGCCGGGCGACCTCTTGAAAGAAGGCGCTCTCAAAAGAAAGAATGTTGAAGCCTCGCAGAACAAACACCAGGCGCACACACAGGCTGCACACAGGACTGACTGTCTCTCTGTCTGGCGCGCACTGAAGTCAGTGCGTAGGCGTCACCAGTCATCTTTCTTGGGAGCGGAGCTGCTCTTAGTCCTAGAAGATGTTGCGAGCGTAGGCGCTCACAATCGCACAGAGATGCTACGATTGCGAGGAGTGCTGCTCACAATCCTTCGACTTCTAGGATTGAGAGCGAGGCTGGCTCTCAATCAATCCTAGCCTAGTACAAAAGAAGGTTCACCGCTAGTGCCAGTCGGCAGGTGCCAGTGAGTGCGTACCGGCACACCAGCACCAGCACCAGTCCCACCCACCCAGTCAGATCCTTTTAGTTTATGTGATAGTGCTAGCACGCGCCAGTCCGCACCTGTGTCGAGCCTGTCTGCTTGAGAGAGAGAGTTGTTTACACAGGCTCGAAGGATTTTGAGCAGCTCGGCGGTGATTATTAAATGCCGCAAGGTATTGCGGCCAGGCGGGGAGGCGGTGGAGGCGGCGCCAGAGCGGCCCGGAGGTGGCGATCGTCTGAACCACAGCGTGTCCCGTTTGGGGGTGTTTCTCTTCTGATCCGTTTTCGGTTACGTACAATGGCGGCCGAGGTCGCGGCGCTGCCACTGGAGAACCTCACCGGCGAGCTCGACGAGCTAGGCGAGCCGGAGTTTCGCGGCTACCTCGTCCGCTCACAGGCCGCCCAGGAGATTGTGCGCATCTTGGTGGGCCTGGCTGAGAGTGAGGCGCGGCCCGAGGATCCGGTGAAGCTGCTGGTACGCCTGACATTGCAGCCCCGCTCCTAGCCACGTCCCCCGCCAGGAAAGCGACCCCCCCCCCCCCTCGCAGCGCGACCTCTTTGATGCTGAACTCACACTGACGGACGAGGCAAAGGAGGACGTCGGAGAGCTTCTCGCAGAAAATGCGCGCCTCAAGGAGGACGTGGCCGCCTACTCCAGCCAGTTGGACCTACTCTTGGCTAAAATCCCCGCGGCGGACCTCGCCATCACCAACGTGCGAATAGCTCAGCCGAGGACGGAAGGGGAGGAACCGGCAGCGGGCGAAAGCGAGCGCTTTCTTCGTATCCAACTGTCTGCGCCGCAACCCGAAGACGATGCACAGACCGTTCAGACCGAGGCAGTCGGTGCAGGGGAGGAGATGGCGTTTGAGGAGGCGCTCAAGCTTCGCCTCCCCGCGGGCAGGGATGCTCCGCCGACCTTGGTGGTTCAGCTTTGTTCGACGGAGCACGATCAGCCGCTTGCAACCGCGTCAATCAGCCTGCCCGACGCAGATTCCGGTGAGGTGTCGGACATAGTGCTAGTGCCAGTCGAGAGCGGCGCGAGCCTATCCTACTCCTTTGCTCTCACCCCCGTTGTGGAGCCGGAGGAGCCTACTGACGCGGAGCCTGACGGCGAGTCGGCCGGGTAAAAGACGAATGAGAGACGCGCCGCCTCTCTGTCCGCATCTCTCGGCAACACACGCAGCTCGTGGCTGTTTGTCGAGAGGGAGGGGATTAAATTTTCATTTGAGAGGGAGCGAGTTTTGCTTTTTAAGCAGAGGAGTGTGGTGCAGCCGACGAACTTCTTGGGTTCCCCGGGTTAGAGTTCGGCACACGGCAGGGGGGTTCTTTTTCTGTGCGGAGTGCATTGCCGTTCTTAACGGAGTCGCTTAGGCGGCTCCGGTGGTGAGCCTGTGTGTGTGCCAGTCCGCGCCAGTCTGCGCCCTTGTCGTGCCAGTGTGCTGTGAGAGAGGCTTGTATCTTAAGAATTCTTTTTCTGTCTTTCGCGCTACAATTCTTTTCCCGTAGTGCGCGCCACGTGCCTAGTGTAAAAGAAAGAAAGAAAAGGAAGAAAACTCTCTGGTGTGTGCGCCATTTTTAACCCTTTCAGGCACACAGTTCGAGCGAGTGAACAGCAGCTCCTGAGCACGGCGCCGCAGGTGCCTGTTGATGGTCCAGGTGATAGCCCTGGATGGGCAATGCATTCGCCTACCTGGGCCTCAGATCGCCCGACCGCGTCCCGGTGCTCTGCGTTCGGATTTGTGACGCCGCCGCATCGCGCCGCGGCCGGGGGCCCGCCGGAGGACAAGGATGGCCGTGACGGACCGGGACGAGCTCTGGCGTCTGGGAGGTTCAGTGTCAGTGAGTATATTGTAGAGACTGACCATGTGCACAATATACTGATTGAGAGCTAAGCCAGGGGAGGCAATGCCGGGGCCGTACAGCAGCTTGATGGTGCGTTCGCCGGCGTAGAAGCGGCCGCGGAGGGCTCCGGGTGCCTGAAAAAGACGCTAGACGGAGTTACGTGGGCTGTGGGAGAGTTACTGTCGACTCAAACGACACTGTGGCGTGATCCTCTCATATATGGCTAAATAATTGACCGAGCCGTTTAAAGTTCCACCGCTACGACTGGAGATACATCGAGATTGGTTCACCATGACCCTACTCTCTGAATTCGCGGAGCGAAGAAAATTTTACGGACGGAATACGTCGCTTTTTGGGCCTCGTTTGGAATACGTATTCTGGAATACGTGTGGAATACGGGCGGAATACTGCCAATACGGGTAGAATACAGCCCTAGGAGGGGTCGATTGGAATACGTGGAATACGTATTCAGAGAGTAGGACCATAGGTAGGTAGGTAGAAAGGTGAAGAACAGCCAGGCTCGGACTGGACACCAACGCGGTATGGGTGGACGCTAGACAGATGAGGACCATGACAGTGTTGTGCCAGGGCGCCCCTCTTAAATTTCTTTTTTCTCCGTAACGAAAGGCCGTCGGCCATGTTCCGGCTACTCTTTATCCTCATCAGCACCAGTATCACTGGCGCCGCCGAAACCTGCGTCGCCAACAACTTCGTCGCCGGCGCCGCCGGCCTCAGCGCCTCGTTTCTCGGCGCATTTACGCCTTCCGAGTGCGCCGAGCTGCGAGAGGCCTCGCGCTCCGCCGCCGCAAACGCCACCGCCGACGTCCGCTCAAATCCGAACTCCGACGCGCCGTGGGTCTCGCGAACGTATGTCGTGGGAGACGGCTTCCGGTCGGATGGACCGAGCGGCGCTCTCGAGCTTCCGGCCTGGGCGAAGCAGCGCCTGCTCTCGCTGGCGCTCACCGCCGATCGCAGCTTGTGGAGACTCTCCCGCGCGGAGAGCGACGGCCTCGAGGCGCCGATCGTGTCCACATACGTTTCGCCTGCCGACCATTTTGGCTGGCACGTCGACCAGTCGGTCGAGCAGGCGGCGGCCGACGCTTCGGCGGGCCGTGCCGGGAGGCTGCTCGCCATCGCTCTGCAGCTCT